TGAGCTCTAATGATCATCGTGCTTCTGCTGGCTAATGGAATTTTCTAGTCATCTTCGGGTGCGTCTTTTGTTCGCGTCCAAGTTCGCATTATCTGACCTGGATGTAGAGAGTACGTTTACGACCTTATAAGCATTATATCTTCTCACGCCGCGTCATTCACAGGATCATTCCTCAATCGCTGAGCGTAAGATACGGCTTGTCCATCGGCGCGGCATGCACACCACTTGTCTTGGCGTTGATGTATATTTTCGGTGAGAACCTCTGGTTTATTCCGTGGGCTTGACATTTATTTTCTTTACTTTTAGCTCCCGTTGCTTATCCCATAGCTAAACTCCTGGACTATGCGCTTGGTGCCAACGAAGCGCACACCTACAGAAAAGCGGAGCTCAAATCTTTTCTAGAGTTCCACCGCACAGGGGAAGAACCTCTGAGGGATGATGAAATATCCATCCTGAGCGGTGTGCTGGAGCTCAATTCAAAAAATGTCGAAGAATTAATGACAAGAATGGAGGTAAGGAGATAGCTCCCATGAGAGGGTAGCGCCGCTAATAATAGTACCATAGGATGTCGTTACGCTCAGCAAGGACACAATACTGGATCATAACACAGTCGATAGGATGTTCGTGGATTATTTCTCCAAGTTTCCTCGCCGCTGAAATGCAATACAGTATAATGAGTGGATACTCCCGCTTCCCGGTGCACAAACCAGAAAATCCATTAGATTTTGTCGGGCTTTTATTAGTCAAGAAGGTTAGCCTGTTTGTTCGTTCTGAACATTTTATCTCCTAACACATGCATGTTGCATAGTTAATAACCTACGACCCTTCCCAAGCCCTCCCGGTGTCAAGCTTTGCACTGTCTATCTTACCTGAGGCTCACCCTTCAATTAACTGTTTCCAGGCGTTGGATTATTTGTAAGGACACCATTTTCTTCTACATAACAGCCCTCATCTCATCTACCCTCCAGCCAAACTGGGCGAGCCCATCTCCTCCTCATATCACGCACTCCGGGAGTAGCAGGTGGTGCCATTGGAGTTGTTACCCTTGAAGGTGGACCCCTGGTCGGCTAAGACTGACCATGAAAGAAGCTAATTCTCCAACTACTGTAGACATTATCGAAGAAATAATCACTGAGGAGATCGTCGACGAGACGGATCGCTACGACGATAACGTTAACAAACGACGAGCCAAGCGGTTGACGAATACTGCTATCATGAAGGGGTGAGTCAAAGGAGCAAGACGTTCAATATTATTCCATACTTAATGATTGCTAGAATCGTTGAGCGCCAACGGAATGCCTCGATATCCTCTCCTGTGAATGAGAGTACACCGTTGCTAGGAAGGGATCGCAATTCTCAGTGAATTACCGACGGGCTGATGAAGATACATCCGAGAAGATTGTTCTTCGTTCCATTCACGTTCGCCTTTTCGAGTTGGAATGTTTGTCATTGTCGTGAATCTATGTGTTCAGAGTATCCGGTGTCTTTGACCATCCTTTCTTAGCATGCGAAGCCCGTCCTCGCAGATAAGGAATGTTACTTTTTTGCGCTTGCAAGGTGCCACGCATGGCGCTTAGACTGCCCAACAAGTTACGGCGTCCATTCAAGAAATCGGTGGTCCTACGTTATCCTTCTCAAACACGCCCGGCGTCATTCTTGACTGCCTGCGGCTCCTCGACCAATCGTTTCCAGGGGGGAAAACGCGGCTTCTTGTCCGGCAAGCGTCCATTTCACATGCCTTTTACCCAGACTGAGCGTCAATGTCCTTCTCGTGTCCTATACTCCTGGAGTCACGGCGGGCATGATCGTTACCTTGGAGGTGTACTTCCATTAGGCTCTTTTTGTATGACTAACGGCACGATGTTCGTACCAGACATGAAACCTTCATCATGATGAGGTGAGGAACGAACCGTTTGCGCCCGTCTCATGCTCAACGATTAATAGGTTGGCCGAACGTTACCAGAATGCTTTATTCTCTCGTGTGTTGCCCTAATCTACTGGTGCTCGATATTTTGATCGGCATATAACAGACAATGCTCCTACTAGCAGATTAGAAACATGACCATTTGTTGGTTACTATCAGGGACAAGCAGGAAATTAACGTTTCGTCCTGGTCTCTCCTGTATGCAACCGCGTAGTACGCCAGGTTACCGCTTTCCGGTGCGTGGATCCGAAGCTGCATATGCTTCAACTTCGGGTCAAGGCGAACTTTGCGTATTTGCGGCTCAGCGAACTCAGAGTATGTCTTTTGGATGAAGTCTATCTCTTTTATTAACTGCAACCTACAGTACACAAGGTCCCAAAATCCAATATTCAAGGCGAAAGACCGGACAGAAACACGAGTTGTGATAGTTTACAAGTGGTCATTTTGATGTGGCCATGGTTGCCGCTGGCCTGTGTGTGTAACATTCAGAATGCAATGATGCAAATTGACGAACGATATCCAAGGATGTGATACTTGTACGCTTGCGGCTACGTCTACAGCGAGCATCCTGGGCAAGTCCGGAAGTGGTTACTGTTCTCCTGCCGAGTAGGTCCGAGTTGACCGCGTTTCCCAAAAGTGTCACGTCACACTTTTTTTGTTCTATCCATCATCTCCTCTTGAGTCCCTTTCCCTCCGAGCAATGAACGTTCTTCTCCACCAGCGTTGCGCTCTTCGCTTTTCACATGTTTTCGAATCCCTGGAGATTGATGTGGAAGAGGTAATTGGTTTTTGTTATCAGCGACGTCTGGACTGCGGATTCCCATTGCTTTCGCGGTTACTTGTGTACTAAGGTATTGGATGGTGTACCTTATGTGATCTTCTGACAGTGATGGCTCGTCGTCAGGTGCAATACTCTTCTTCACTCGGAGGAGATGCTTCGTGGAAGGATCTACTCGCCTCAACTTATAAGTCCGCAAAGCAACTGACAAGGTTACTGTTCGAAGATTCTCTATATTTCAAGATATTCTATTCTGGAATGGAGAGACTTACGGTATTACATTGCCACTCTTTCCAGCACTCGTAAAAGATTCGCCTGTGCACATCGTGCCCAGGCTCGGCCTCCGTGATGTAGTCAAAATGATCGGATGATTTCCTATCGGTTTCACCTCGTCGACCATCATCAGAGTCTGTTGGCGAGCGATATAGGTCACTGTCGTCTACGCATATTCTAACTAACCTCAAAAATGACTGGTAGAGCCATACGTCCTCATGCCAAGTCACGAACGGGTTGTGCTACGTGCAAGCGAAGAAAAGTCAAGGTAAGCCCTCCTGTGCCGTTGCTAGTCGCATTCTCAATAATTTATAGTGCGACGAAGAATATCCGTGTGCGGAAATTGCACAAAGAGAAAGGTGGATTGCACCTGGGCTCCGAAAACTTTCAGATTCGTCAACTCGTCACCCGAAACACGAGTTTCCGCTGCCTCCATTTCGACTGCCTTGTCGCGTCGACGGCCTAAAGAGATCTCGATACACTCTACTATCCAGCACCCTGATGCTTCCTTTGTTCTCAGTGCCCGGACGTTGGAGCTTATGTACCACTACACTGGCATGACATGCTCCACTCTCACTTTTGTCAATGAAGCCAAACTGGATAGCGTGTGGAACACTGCAGTACCGAGGCTATCCTTTTCGGCCAACGGTTCTCATCTTCTCCATGCCATCCTGGCGGTGACTGCCCTTCACCTCCATTCCCTCGACCCCACGAGCCCGAGTGCCGGACGATATTCCTATGCGGCCACCGTGCACTGCAACGCGGCTTTGGCGGGGCTCACCATTCCTTCCTCTGATAGCGCCAACGTCATCCCTTTCGTGCTCACCCTCTCGGTCATCGTCATATACGGTTTTGCCATATCGCCTCCCTCATTGACTTCCTCCAACTCGCGATTCCGGAACTGGTTACGTGTCCTTCGAGTCTTGACTAAAACAGGCCAGCAAATGCCGGCTCTCCCCCAAGGTGTGACCGGTCCGTTAGCGAGTAGATTCCCAGTGTCTCCTTCATCACTACTATCGGCGCTGCCAATCCCGAGTCAGGAGATACATTCCCCATTCTTGTCTACTCTCCCGTTTCCCACTCCGGGCGCTCCGGATCCAGAGGAAGTCGCTGATGAGGATGTGTCAGCGGACTATCAGTGGGCTCTTACATTATTGCAGCTTGCATGGAAGGCATCGTTCATTCCTCGATACCAAGGATACGCGCTCCTTGCATGGTTTGCGGGTGTCTCTGACAGGTTTTTGGACGTTCTTGTTGAACGGGCGCCCGAGGGCCCTCTTGCTTACCGTGCACTACTGCGTCATTATGCAGAGTATGGAGCGGAAGCACGTAGATCCGAATTGTCCTCTGCATGGTGGGCTCAGAGGAAGAATAAGTGGGATAACATTATTGCAGAACTAATGACCCAGGTTGGAACCACAGTGGACCGAGTGGGTTACGTCGAATATGCATAACGTGAATTATCATTGCATAGACCATTGAGCGTCGTAATGTTAGTCCTAATGTAAGCTAATGAGATTATTATGCTACACTTAAGCAATGCATGAGCAGCCATTCCTTACTTTAAAGGAATATCGTCCACATTATACGGCACCGAAAATAGGATGTAAAGTACCCACTTAATTCGATGTCCCAGAGGGGCTAACAAAAGGAGCCATCCACCGAAATCGACTAACAATGAGTTGTACGATCCACTGGAACTCAAAACCTGAACGGGCAAACTATAAAGCAAAATCTAACATGAATGGTGAGGTACTAGTGTGCTGTGTTGCGCACGAGAACTGGGGGGACTAGTAACTTACCGCTTAGTACTGATGCTTAGTCACAGCGTTTCCAGAAAATAATCAATTCTCGCCGATTCTCATTGACAAAGCATTAACAATGGCTTACAAGTTACTACTCTTGAAGCCTGACTCTTGAATTGGGAAGTTGGAACTTGAAGATTTAAAGCCGATAATTAAATAAACTTGTGGTGTAGGCCCAAAAAGAAAAAAAGGTAAATCAGATTTGATGATGGATAACGAACGACACCAGCAGGATTTGAACCTGCGCACTCAGAGAGTAATAGATGGATTATAATTCGAATCTATCGCCTTAACCACTTGGCTATAGTGCCCTATTTGAGTGTGTCAGAATGAGTATTCTTGAATGGCGGTCAGAATCTATTTGAAACTGACGGAACTAAGAAACGCCACTTTAATGCGATGGCGCAGCGTAGGCATGGACTTGATTTATGATGTGTTCGACCTCGCTTTCTGCAGCATTGTTTTAACACCTGATCTGCAAGCGCCGTACAAGAAGTTGATAATGAGCCATTTCAATATGTTATGGAGAACCGCACGTCGCCTGAGAGGGTAGTGGGTGTAGATAAATCGGGGGTAGCCTCCAGCCTATATTAAATTCCAGTATCTGGTTAACAGGTGCAGGAAGTAGTGGTGTTATTTTGTCGCTTACATTGGTATGTCCCCGCCAAACCCAAGATCGATGTGGCATATGGATTGCAGATACTGCCAGTCTTCGAACGTCAATGATACCGGGGGCGCGTATTCCTCATAGAAAGCTCTAAGGACATATATCAGGGTACGAAATAGTAAAACCAATGAAGGAACCGACCTGATATCAGTCATAGCATCCTCATACTTGCCTTCCGGCGAAGGAAGGCAAATACCATCGAGAGCCATTTCAAGGATTACACTGAGTGGGTGTGATGGTTAGAAGGAATAGCTAAAGTTGTCGGCGACCATACTCACATTTCGCCCAAGCCGGTAGGCGTATAGTAGGCATCCATCGAAACGTCGATGGCAAAGACCCATGAAGATCCCTTTATAGAAGCGGCCGAGTCACCGCTGGCACGTCGCGGACACAAAAATCGCTGCCATCCTTTCTTTGGTGGCTGACCAGGGATAATGGCACTATGGTCCATTGAAAAGCATCAAAACAATCTAGGACGCACTTGGAGGAAGAGGTTCACGGACAAAGGAGAAAACATTGGTTCAATGTTTGACCGGATGACATGAATTGTACTTG